ACCCCCCCAAGCCCCCCTCCCCTCGGCCCGGGGACCCTCCCCGGCGCAGGAGGGGGCCCCGGGAGCCCCGCGCTGACCCCGGGCCAGCCCGCTGTCGCTGCTGCCCAGGTTCTCCCCGCTGGCCATCGAGGCGGTGCCGGCGCTGGCCGGGGTGGGCTTGGGGACCCCCGGGCCGGGCTGGTGCATCTTCGTCTACAACCTGGCGCCCGAGGCGGACGAGAGCGTCCTGTGGCAGCTCTTCGGGCCCTTCGGCGCCGTCACCAACGTCAAGGTCATCCGCGACTTCGCCACCAACAAGTGCAAGGGCTTCGGCTTCGTCACCATGACCAACTACGAGGAGGCGGCCATGGCCATCGCCAGCCTCAACGGCTACCGCCTGGGCGACCGCGTGCTCCAGGTGTCCTTCAAGACCACCAAGCAGCACAAGGCCTGAGGTTTGTGGCCCCCTCCCCGCCCCAGGGGGGCTGTGGGGTCTCCTGATGGGGTGTGGGGACCCCCCACCTCTGTGAGCGCCGTGGAGGAACTCGGATGGAGGTCTTGGGGACCCCCGCTGTGGGCACCGTGGGGAAAGCCAGCTGGGGCTTGGGGACCTTGGGGACCCTCAGGGACCCCCGTGGAGACCATGGAGAAACCCAACTGGACCTTGGGGACCCTCAGGGACCCCCATGGAGAAACCCAACTGGGGACCTTCAGGGACCCCTATGGAGACCATGGAGAAACCCAACTGGACCTTGGGGACCTTCAGGGACCTTCAGGGACCCCCATGGAGACCATGGAGAAACCCAACTGGACCCTGGGGACCTTCAGGGACCCCTGTGAGCACCATGGAGGAACTCAGCTGGAGATCTCGGGGACCCCCACGAGCACCAAACACATCCTGGAGACCTCAGGGTCCCCCCATGGGCACCGTGGAGACCACGGAGAAAGCCAGCTGGAGACCTTGGGGAGCCTCAGGGACCTTCAGGGACCCCCATGAGCACCATGGAGAAACCCACAGGAAGACCTGGAGACCTCAGGGTCCCCCCATGGAGACCACGGAAGAACCCCACTGGAGACTTGGGGACCTTCGGGGACCCCCACGAGCACCAAACACCTCCTGGAGACCTCAGGGTCCCCCCCATGAGCACCATGGAGACCATGGAGGAAGCAGATTTCAGGTCCTGGGCACCCCCTCCATGGACATCCTGGGGTCTCCATGATGGACAAACACACCTGGAGACCTCGGAGATCGTGGGGACACCCCACAGACACCGTGGAGACCCCGGGGAGCCCCCCTCCATGGCCGCTGAGGACACCGTGGGGACACCTGGACGCCCTCACCTGTCCCCGACGGGCACCCTGAGCACTCCTCCAGGCGCTGCAGGGCACTGGGAGGGGCCCTGGAGACCCCCCAGGACACTGTGGACACACCTGGGACCCCCCCAGCCCGGGGTACCCCCCCAAACCCCACCACTCCGGCAGTGGCCGGACCACCTGGAGCGGTGCCCCCCCCTCACCTGATCCAGGTGTGTCCAGGTGGGGGCTGTGCCCCCCCTGCCCTCCACTCCAGGACTCCAGCGGGGAGGGGGGGGCGGCGTCTTCTCGCTCTCTCCTTCTTTCCATGTTTTTCCTTAATTTTCCGGGGGAGGGGGAGGAATTTTTGGGGAGGAAGAACAAAAATGAGGATGCATCACGTGTTTAATCAGACCCGTTACCCGTTTATCAGGTAAGGAGGAGCGTGGCTGGCGCCGGGAGCGGTGACTCCTCGGGAGCCGCCGACCCAAATCCATCTATTTTTATAGCAGAATATTAAAAATATCCCCCGAAATCCCCAAAATCGCCTTTCCAGAGGGGGCGAGAACCTGTTTTGTGCTCCCCGAGCTCCTTGGAAGCAGCTTGTGAACCCCCAAGAGCGATCAAGGCAACTTCTGGGGGGTCAATGGCACTAAAATTCCAGGGATTGCTCTGGTACCCCCAAAACTGGGAGGGAGGGGATGTGTCTTGTCACACTTCCCCCCCCCTTCCCAAATTCTCCAAAATGGGCAATTTTTGCCTCAAATTACTCCACTTGGAGCCTCCTGTCCAAAAAAATAAGGGCGGAACCCCACCTGAAAAGCCCCAACCCTGAGTTCCCCCATACTCCTTATCATCGTTATTATTCTTAATTATTCTTAATTATTCTTAATTATTCTTCTTATTAATTATTATTGATGTTGTTGTTATTATTATTATTATTATTATTATTATTACTATTATTGCGATTCTTATTTATTTTCCCTTCGCCGTAGGGATAATTTCTCACTTTTCAGTGGTTTGTTTCCCATTTATTTCCTATTCTTCCCTGCTTTTACCCTGATCCTGGTACTCCCCGGGACCCTCTTTTTTCCCCCCAGACCCTTCCCCAAAACCCATCCCAGCTCCTGGTTTTTTTGTGTCGTGCCTGTGTGAAGCTTCTTGTAGTTTTAATTATTATTAATATAAATATTTAGGAGCGACCCCCGTGTCCAGATCCGCCACCACACCCAGGTTCTCCCCGCTAGCACCATGGAGGAACTCAGCTGGAGATCTCGGGGACCCCCACGAGCACCAAACACATCCTGGAGACCTCAGGGTCCCCCCATGGGCACCGTGGAGACCACGGAGAAAGCCAGCTGGAGACCTTGGGGAGCCTCAGGGACCTTCAGGGACCCCCATGAGCACCATGGAGAAACCCACAGGAAGACCTGGAGACCTCAGGGTCCCCCCATGGAGACCACGGAAGAACCCCACTGGAGACTTGGGGACCTTCGGGGACCCCCACGAGCACCAAACACCTCCTGGAGACCTCAGGGTCCCCCCCATGAGCACCATGGAGACCATGGAGGAAGCAGATTTCAGGTCCTGGGCACCCCCTCCATGGACATCCTGGGGTCTCCATGATGGACAAACACACCTGGAGACCTCGGAGACCGTGGGGACACCCCACAGACACCGTGGATACCCCTGGGAGCCCCCCTCCATGGCCGCTGAGGACACCGTGGGGACACCTGGACGCCCTCACCTGTCCCCGACGGGCACCCTGAGCACTCCTCCAGGCGCTGCAGGGCACTGGGAGGGGCCCTGGAGACCCCCCAGGACACTGTGGACACACCTGGGACCCCCCCAGCCCGGGGTACCCCCCCAAACCCCACCACTCCGGCAGTGGCCGGACCACCTGGAGCGGTGCCCCCCCCTCACCTGATCCAGGTGTGTCCAGGTGGGGGCTGTGCCCCCCCTGCCCTCCACTCCAGGACTCCAGCGGGGAGGGGGGGGCGGCGTCTTCTCGCTCTCTCCTTCTTTCCATGTTTTTCCTTAATTTTCCGGGGGAGGGGGAGGAATTTTTGGGGAGGAAGAACAAAAATGAGGATGCATCACGTGTTTAATCAGACCCGTTACCCGTTTATCAGGTAAGGAGGAGCGTGGCTGGCGCCGGGAGCGGTGACTCCTCGGGAGCCGCCGACCCAAATCCATCTATTTTTATAGCAGAATATTAAAAATATCCCCCGAAATCCCCAAAATCGCCTTTCCAGAGGGGGCGAGAACCTGTTTTGTGCTCCCCGAGCTCCTTGGAAGCAGCTTGTGAACCCCCAAGAGCGATCAAGGCAACTTCTGGGGGGTCAATGGCACTAAAATTCCAGGGATTGCTCTGGTACCCCCAAAACTGGGAGGGAGGGGATGTGTCTTGTCACACTTCCCCCCCCATTCCCAAATTCTCCAAAATGGGCAATTTTTGCCCCAAATTACTCCACTTGGAGCCTCCTGTCCAAAAAAATAAGGGCGGAACCCCACCTGAAAAGCCCCAACCCTGAGTTCCCCCATACTCCTTATCATCGTTATTATTCTTAATTATTCTTAATTATTCTTAATTATTCTTCTTATTAATTATTATTGATGTTGTTGTTATTATTATTATTATTATTATTATTATTATTACTATTATTGCGATTCTTATTTATTTTCCCTTCGCCGTCGGGATAATTTCTCACTTTTCAGTGGTTTGTTTCCCATTTATTTCCTATTCTTCCCTGCTTTTACCCCGATCCTGGTACTCCCCGGGACCCTCTTTTTTCCCCCCAGACCCTTCCCCAAAACCCATCCCAGCTCCTGGTTTTTTTGTGTCGTGCCTGTGTGAAGCTTCTTGTAGTTTTAATTATTATTAATATAAATATTTAGGAGCGACCCCCGTGTCCAGATCCGCCACCACACCCCCCCCCCCAAACTCTGACCCCCCCCCCCCCCCCCCGGGNAACTCTGACCCCCACCCCCTCTCCCAGGGATCCAGCCCTGGAATTTGGGGAGGGGGCCAGGGGACCCCCAATTCAGTAGCAATAAGGGGTCCCCACCTCAGCCCCGGCCCATTTTTGGGGGGCCCAACGCGGGGACAAAAGGTGCCCAGGGACCCCCTTGTGGCACTGCGGGACCCCTCGGAGGGGACCGGGACCCCCCCGGCCCCCACCCCTGGACTCGACTCTTTGTATTTTTCATGGAAAAAATCAATAAAAAAATCAAAAAGGCAGAATTTGTACGTGGTTTTGGCAGGGAGGGCGCGTCCGTCCGGGACTGGATGGCTGAGGGACTGTCAGCCATTTTCCCTCACGTTTCCTGCCCTTTTCCCCTCACATTTCCTTCCATTTTCCCCTCACGTTTCCCACCTTTTTAGCCTAACATTTCCTGCCCTTGTCCCCTCAGGTTTCCCTCTTCTCCCCCTCACATTTCCTGCTCTTTTCCCCTCACGTTTCGTGCCCTTTTCCCCTCACGTTTCCCTCCATTTTCCCCTCATGTTTCCCTCTCTTTTCCCTTCATGTTTCCCTCCATTTTCCCCTCACATTTCCTGATCTTTCCCCCTCATGCTTCCCTCTGTTTTCCCTTCACGTTTCCTTCCATTTTCCCCTCACGTTTCCCTCATTTTCCCCTCATGTTTCCTGCCCTTTTCCCCTCACCCTTCCTGCCCTTTTCCCCTCATGTTTCTCACCTTTTCCCCCCACACATTTTTTCGCCTTCACGTTTCCCTCCATTTTCCCTTCACGCTTCCTGCCCTTTTCCCCTCACGTTTCCTGCCCTTTTCCCCTCAGGTTTCTTTCTCTTTTCCCCTCACATTTCCCTTCATTTCCCCCTCACGTTTCCCTCATTTCCCCCTCATGTTTCCTGCCCTTTTCCCCTCACACTTCCTGCCCTTTTCCCCTCATGTTTCTCACCTTTTCCCCCCTCACATTTTTTCGCCTTCACGCTTCCCTCCATTTTCCCCTCACGTTTCCTGCCCTTTTCTCTCCTCACGCTTCCCTCCATTTCCCCCTCACGCTTCCCGCCATTTTCTCCCCTCATGCTTCCCGCCCTTTTTCCCTCACGCTTCCCTCCATTTTCCCTTCACGTTTCCTGCCCTTTTCTCTCCTCATATTTCCCTCCATTTTCCCCTCACGTTTCCCGCCCTTTTCCCCTCATACTTCCTGCTCTTTTCCCCTCATGTTTCTCACCTTTTCCCCCTTCACATGTCCCGCATTTTTTCGCCTTCACGTTTCCCTCAATTTTCCCTTCACACTTCCTGCCCTTTTCCCCTCACGTTTCCTGTCCTTTTCCCTCCTCATGGTTCCCTCCATTTTCCCCTCATGCTTCCCGCCCTTTTTCCCCTCACGCTTCCCGCCATTTTCTCCCCTCATGGTTCCTGCCCTTTTCCCCTCATGTTTCCCTCAATTTTCCCTTCATGCTTCCTGCCTTTTTCCCCTCACGTTTCCCGCCCTTTTCCCCCCTCACGCTTTCCTCCATTTTCCCCTCACGCTTCCCTCCATTTTCCCCTCACGTTTCCCGCCATTTTCTCCCCTCACGTTTCCCGCCATTTTCCCCTCACGCTTCCCGCCCTTTTTCCCTCACAGTTCCCTCCATTTTTCCCCTCACATTTCCTGCCCTTTTCCCATCACACAAACAGAAAAAAAAGCTCTTCCCTCTCCATTTCAGCACCTTTCCTCCTCAAAAGCTCCGTTTTCCCAGAGCTCACTGGATGGACGGACTGCAGCCCGTGAGTTTCCCTTCATTTCCCCCTCACGTTTCCCTCATTTCCCCCTCATGTTTCCTGCCCTTTTCCCCTCACACTTCCTGCCCTTTTCCCCTCATGTTTCTCACCTTTTCCCCCCTCACATTTTTTCGCCTTCACGCTTCCCTCCATTTTCCCCTCACACTTCCCGCCATTTTCTCCCCTCATGCTTCCCGCCCTTTTTCCCTCACGCTTCCCTCCATTTTCCCTTCACGTTTCCTGCCCTTTTCTCTCCTCATATTTCCCTCCATTTTCCCCTCACGTTTCCCGCCCTTTTCCCCTCATACTTCCTGCTCTTTTCCCCTCATGTTTCTCACCTTTTCCCCCTTCACATGTCCTGCATTTTTTCGCCTTCACGTTTCCCTCCATTTTCCCTTCACACTTCCTGCCCTTTTCCCCTCACGTTTCCTGTCCTTTTCCCTCCTCATGGTTCCCTCCATTTTCCCCTCATGCTTCCCGCCCTTTTTCCCCTCACGCTTCCCGCCATTTTCTCCCCTCATGGTTCCTGCCCTTTTCCCCTCATGTTTCCCTCAATTTTCCCTTCATGCTTCCTGCCTTTTTCCCCTCACGTTTCCCGCCCTTTTCCCCTCATGTTTCCCTCAATTTTCCCTTCACACTTCCTGCCCTTTTCCCCTCACGTTTCTTCCCCTTTTCTCTCCTCATGGTTCCCTCCATTTTCCCCTCATGTTTCCCTCAATTTCCCCTTCATGCTTCCCGCCCTTTTCCCCTCATGTTTCCTGCCCTTTTCTCTCCTCACATTTCCCTCCATTTTCCCCTCACACTTCCCACCCTTTTCTCCTCATGCTTCCCGCCATTTTTCCCTCACGTTTCCCTCCATTTTCCCCTCACATTTCCTGCCCTTTTCCCATCATACAAACAGAAAAAAAAGCTCTTCCCTCTCCATTTCAGCACCTTTCCTCCTCAAAAGCTCCGTTTTCCCAGAGCTCACTGGATGGACGGACTGCAGCCCGTGAGTGCTCCGGAGGGACTGGGATGTGGCACTGGGGGGGCGCTTTTGGGATTGCTGGACAAGGTTTAGAGGCGCTGCGAGGGTTTTGAGGGTGTTCATGGCATTGTAGGGGATGCTGCCGTGGGTTTGAGGGCTCTAAAGGGGCCATTAAACACTTTTGGGGCGCGTCGCCGCGGCCGCCCCGTTCCCGCCACGCTGCCGTAAAGCACCGCCGCCGCCTCAGCGAGCTCGCCGCACTGCCGTAAAGAGCCGCCACATTGCCGCGAACCGCCGCAGCAGCTCCGAGCCCGCCACACTGCCGTAAAGCGCCGCCGCCTCCCCGCTGTGTCAGCCACGCTGCCGTAAAGCGGCGCTGCCGCGCTGGCCGCACTGCCGTAAAGCGCAGCTCCCGGTTTAAGGAAATTTCATTTTCTTGTCGTTTCGGGCCCTCGTTTTCATCGCCTTAAGGGTTAAAATGGGCAGGAATCCCCGTCTTCAAAGGTTGAATTGAGGAGGAATCCCCATTTCCTCTCATTTTTAAGGTTAAATTGGGGGGAATCCCCATTTCCCCATTTTTAAAGGTTAAATTGAGCAGAAATTCCGTTTTCCCGCAGCCCCGGGCTCGGATTGGGGCGAAATCCGCCGGGTTTGGGTCTTTAGGGGGCTTTGGACAGAGGGTGGGGGGGAATCCCCGGTTAACGGGAAGGGATCCCCGGTTAACCGGGTGGGGAATGCCCGGTTTACGGGGTGGGGATCCCTGGTTAACGGCGGAGGAATGCCCGGTTAACGGGTGGGGATCCCCGGTTAACGGGGGGGGATCCCCGGTTAACGGCGGAGGGATCCCCGGTTAACGGGGGCGCCGCGCCGCCGTTCCTCTGCGCGGGGGCTCCCCGGGGTCCCGGGGCGGAGCCGTTCCGGTGCCGGGGGAGGTCCCGGCCCGGGGGGAGGCGCCGAGCCGGGCGCGGGGGCGGCACCGGCGGCGGCACCGGGAGGTTCTCCCCCGGCTCCTTCCGACCGCGGGGCCATGCGGAGCCCGGCACCGGGAGGAGCCGCTGCCGGTACCGCGGATCGCTGAGGAGCGACCCCGGCACCGGCACCGGCACGGGGGGGCTCCGGGACCCGCTCCGGCACCGTCCCCGTTAGCGGGCGGCCGCGGCACCGGCGGCGTCCCGCGCGGCCGGTTCCCCGGTGCCGGCGGGGATGGAGCCGGTGCCGGTGCCCCGGGAGGGCCCGGCGCTGCCGGTGCCGGTGCCCCGGGAGGGCCCGCGCCCCCCGCAGCACCTCTGGCGCCAGCCCCGCACCCCGATCCGCATCCGCCACCGCGGCTTCTCCGACACCGAGCGGCACCGGGCGCGGCCCATGGAGCGGGCGGACGCCGTGGACACCGGGGGCACCGGGGGCACCGGGGGCCGGCCCGGGCTGCGCAGCGCCCGCCTGTCCTGGCCCTGCTCCCTCCGCGGCACCGGCGGGCGGTAGGTGACGGCGGCGGGACCCCCGGGACCCCCAGCGCCACCCCGGTACCGGGGCTGGGAGCTGAGCCGGTGCCGGTACCGGGGCTGGGAGCTCAGGCGGTACCGGGGGTGGGAGCTTACCCGGTGTCATCCCGGTACCGGTACCGGGAGTGCCCAAACCCCATCCCGGTACCGGGACCGGGACCCCCCATCTTCATCCTCATCCCGGTACCGGGATCCCCCATCTTCATCTTCATCCCGGTACCGGTACCGGGAGCGCCTCTCTTCATCCTCATTCCGGTGCCGTGAGCCCCCCAAACCCCATCCCGGTACCGGGACCCCCCATCTTCATCCCGGTACCGGTACCGTGAGCCCCCATCTTCATCTTCATCCCGGTACCGGGACCCCCCATCTTCATCTTCATCCTCATCCCGGTACCGGGAGCACCCCTCTTCATCCTCATCCCGGTCCCGGGACCCCTCCCCATCCTCCCGGTCCCGGAGCGGCCCTGGGGGGTACCGGGGCCCCCCGGAGCCGCCCCGGTTTGGGGGTGTCCCCGCGGTGACCGGGGGGATCCGGGCGGTTTTGGGGAGGGGGCTGCAGCCCCCCCGCCGCTCCCGTTCCCGGGAAGTTTTTTTGGGGAAAACAACTCGGGCAGGCGCCGGGAGCTGCGCGTCCTTCCGCCGGCCCCGGCCTCATTAGCGGCGTTCATTAATTAATGCACAGGAGGCTCGGCAGATGGCGGGGGGGGGGGATTTCCTTCCTCCTCCTCCTCCTCCTCCTCCTCTTCCTCCCGGCCCCGCGGTGCCGAGCAGCGAGCGGGGGCAGCGGGGCCGGGGTCGCCCCGGTGGGAGCCCCTGAGACCCCCGGGCTGAGGGGCTGGGCTGTGGGACCCCCGCCCCTGCTGCCCTGAGACCCCTGCCCCGCTGACCTGAGACCCCCGCCCCCCTGCCCTGAGACCCCTGACCCGCTGCCCTGCAACCCCCGCCCCCGCGGGGCTCCGGGGTCCGGTTCCTCCGGGATCCGGGTGGGATCAGGGCAGGATCGGGATCAGGACGGGACCCGGAGAGGATCCAGCCGGGATCCGGCTGCCGCCGGCTCCGGGAGGCTCTTCCCGGTTCCCGGAGGCATTTCCCGGTTCCCGGAGGCTCTTCCCGGTTCCCGGAGGCATTTCCCGGTTCCCGGAGGCATTTCCCAGCCCCTGGAGGATTTTCCCGGCTCCTGGAGGCTGCTCCCAGCTCCTGGAAGCTTTTCCCAATTCCTGGAGGCTGCTCCCAGCTCTGAAAGCTTTTCCCAGCCCCTGGAGGTTTTTCCCAGCTCCTGGAAGCTTTCCCCGATTCCTGGAGGCTGCTCCCGGCTCCCGGAGCCTTTCCCCACCTCCCGGGGGCTGTTCCCGGTGTCTGGAATCTTTCCCCGGCTCCCGGAGGCTTTTCCCACCCCCTGGAGGCTGTTCGTGCTTCCTGAGAGCTTTTCCCAATTCCTGGAGCCTTTTCCCTGCTCCTGGAGGCCGTTCCCAGCTCCTGAAAATTTCTCCCACCTCCTGGAATCTTTCCCCAGCTCCCGGAGGCTTTTCCCACCTCCTGGAGGCTGTCCCCGGTTCCTTGAGAGCTTTTTCCAATTCCTGGAGGCTTTTCCTGGCTCCTGGTGGCCGTTCCCAGCTCCTGAAAGCTTTTCTCAGCCCCTGGAATCTTTCCGCAATTCCTGGAGGCTTTTCCCACCTCCTGGAAGCTTTCCGCAATTCCTGGAGGCTGCTCCCAGCTCCCAGAGCCTTTTCCCACCTCCTGGGGACCGTTCCCATCTCCTGAGAATTTCTCCCACCTCCTGGAATCTTTCCCGGCTCCCGGAGGCCGTTCCCGGTTCCTGGAAGCTTTCCCCGGTTCCCGGAGCCTTTTCCCGGCTGTTCCCGGCCGTTCTCCCGCACTCCCGGCCGTTCCGCCCGTTCCCTCGCTCCCTCCCGGTGCCCCCGCGGCCCCGCGGGCGCTCCGGGCTCCGCTCCGGGCGGGATGAGTCACCGGCGGTGATTCACGGCTCCGGGGACCGAGCGGGGCCGGGGCCGGAAATCCCGGCCTGGGGGCGGCTCCGGGGGTCCCGCCGGGAAAGGTCCCGGTGCCTGCCCCCCCTCCCGGTGTCCCCTCCCGGTCCCTGTCGGTCCCGGTGTCCCATCCCGTTGTCTGTCCCCTCCCGGTGTCCTGTCCCAGTCCCGGTGTCCCTGTCCCGGTCCCTGTCCCGGTCCCGGTCCCGGTCCCGGTCCCCGTCCCCTCCCGGTGTCCCGTTCCTCCTCCTCCTCTGCACCGCACCCGCGTCCCGCCCCTCTCTCCATCCTTACTTCATCCCCTTCCTCCTCCCTCCTCTTCCCAATGCCCCGTGCCCGTCCCTCATCCCTTCCTCCTCCTCCTCTTCCTCCTCTTCATCTTCCTCCCTCCCATCCTCCTCCTCCCTGTCTGGCCCATCCAGGGTTAACTGGGGGGTTCAGGATTGAACTGGGGGGTCTGAGGTCTCCAGGGTTAACTGGGGGGGGTCTGGGTCTCAGGGTGTCCCAGGGGGGTCCCGGGGGTCTCAGGGGTCTCAGGGTGTCCCGGGGGGGTCCCGGGGGTCTCTGTCCCCCCCAATCTCCCCCCCAGGTCCTGGCCAGTCTCCGCAGTGTTCGCTGCAGCCTCTGGGTGCTGAGCAACGGCCCCGCCCCCCCGGGCAGCGCGTGCGTGACCCCTGACCCCTGACCTCTGACCCCGGCCCGGGGGGCCCTGCAGGAGCTGGATGGAGCCTGTCCCAGTCCCGGTGGCACTGTCACTGTCCCTGTCCCTGTGGCAGTGTCCCCCATCACTGTCCCCAGATGTCCCTGTCCTGGCCCGGGGGGCCCTGCAGGAGCTGGATGGTGCCTGTCCCTGTCCCTGACCCTGTCCCTGTCCCCAGATGTCCCTGTCCCTGTCCTGGCCCGGGGGGCCCTGCAGGAGCTGGATGGTGCCTGTTCTGGTGTCACTGTCCCCATCCCTGTCCCGGTGTCCCTGTCCCTGTCCCCAGATGTCCCTGTCCTGGCCCGGGGGGCCCTGCAGGAGCTGGACTGGTGCCTGGAGCAGCTGCAGACGCTGCAGACGCACCGGGCGGTCAGCGAGATGGCCTCCAACAAGGTGGGGACAGGGGACACTGGGGACACCCTGGGGACACCCTGGGGACACCGGGGACACCGGGGGGACACTGGGGACATGGGGACAGGGGACACCGGGGACACCAGGGGCAATGGGGGCAATGGGGTCATCGGGGTCATCGGGGACAGGGGGACAGCGTGGGACAGGGGACACTGGGGACACTGGGGACACTGGGCAGACAGCAGGAACAATGAGGACAATGAGGACACCGGGGGGACATGGGGACACCGGGGTCATTGGGGTCATTGGGGACACCGGGGACACTGGGGACACTGGGGCAATGGGGGCAATGGAGGCAATGGGGGCACTGGGGACAGGGGACACTGGGGACAGCGGGGACACTGGGGACACCCTGGGGACACCGGGGGCAATGGGGGCAATGGGGTCATCGGGGACAGGGGACATTGGGGACACTGGGCAGACAGCAGGGACAATAAGGACAATGAGGACAATAAGGACAATGAGGACACCGGTGGCACTGGTGGCCGTGGCTGTGCTGGGGTGCTGGTGGCACTGGTCACACTGGCAGCAGTGGTGGCAGTGGCTCTGCTGGTGGCACGGTGGCACTGGCAGTGCGGTGTTGGGGTGCTGGTGGCACTGGTCATACTGGTTCATACTGGTGCCAGTGGTGGCCGTGGTTCTGTCGAGGTCTTGGTGGCCCTGGTGGCCCTGGTGGCCCTGGTGGCAGCGGTGCAGGGTCCCCGAGCCCTTTTGGGGTGTCCCTTGGTGTCCTCTGGGGGTCCCTGACCCCTTTTTGGGGCTCCGGGGGTGTCCCCACACTTTTGGGGGGTCCCTTAAGGGTCCCTGAGCCCTTTCTGGGGGGTCCCCTGGGGGCTCCTGAGCCTTTTTGGGGGGTCTGGGGGTGTCCCCCCACTTTTGGGGTGTCCCTAAGGGGTCCCTGAGCCCTTTTGGGGGGAGTCCCCACACTTTTGGGGTGTCCCCTGGGGGTCCGGGGGTGCCCCCACATTTCTGGGGGGTCCCTTAGGGGTGCCCTCCCCTTTCTGGGGGGTCCCGCCCCTTTTTGGGGTGCCGTCCCCCCGTGTCCCCCCCGTGACCGTGACCGCGGGGAGGGGGCGGGGCTGGGGGCGTGGCCAAGCCTCGCGCAGGCGCCCTGAGCGCCCCCCCCCCGCCCGGCCGCCCCGTTTTGGGGGTCCCCGCCCCTTTTTGGGGGTGCCGTCCCCCCGTGTCCCCCCCGTGACCGTGACCGCGGGGAGGGGGCGGGGCTGGGGGCGTGGCCAAGCCTCGCGCAGGCGCCCTGAGCGCCCCCCCCCCGCCCGGCTCTCCGCGGCCTCCGCAGCCCCGAGCGGACCCCCCCCAA